TAGTACAGCTACCGGACGCTCCTCGTACGAAAGATCTGGCTGAACCTGAATATCTGAATGAGGAATAACATGATCGGGGTCGCACACGTACTTACGCAACATCGATGCGTCAAATACATTATGAATGCCTGATAACTCGGGAGGTAGGGCTAATCGATACGCAACCTCGCCAACTCGCTCGAGAACCTCAAACGGACCGATGAATCGAGGGTGCAGCTTCCCTCTCTTTCCGAATCGAACGACTCCGCGAATCGGACGAACTCTGAGAAAATTTGGCTCGCCAACCTCGAACTGAATGTCTCGTCGATGATGATCGGCTGAAGATTTCTGTCGACTCTGAGCTGTCTTGAGTCTCTGTCGGATCAACTCGACCTGATCTGCTGTCTCCTCGATCAACTTGGGACTGAGTACTCGTCGCTCTCCGACGTCATCCTAATAAAGAAGGAAACGACATTTGCGGCCGTAAAGTGCCTCGTAAGGAGCTATCTGAATAGAAGAATGATAACTGTTGTTGTACGCAAACTCGGCATACGGCAACAACGACTCCCACTTAGCACCCCTGTCAACGACCAAAGCGCGAAGCATATCCTCAAGCGTCTGAATAGTCCGCTCTGACTGACCGTCTGTCTCCAGATGGTAGGCTGAACTAAACTCTAGCTTCATGCCCATCGCCTCGTGTAAGCTGTGCCAGAATCTGCTGACGAATCTGAGATCTCTGTCTGATACGATAGTAACGGGCACTCCGTGGAGTCGGATGATCTCACGGGTATAAATCTCAGCCAACTTATCCAAAGACATCTTCATCGAAACGGGTAAGAAATGAGCGACCTTAGTCAATCTGTCGACCACGACCCAGATAGCATCGTCAACAGTACGAGTACCCTGCTGGAGCGATAAGAACTGACGCTCCATCTCTGCTCTGTAGTAACTGGGGTAGTACTTCTCGCGGATCAGCTCCTTGAGCCTATCCCATGTACAACCCTCCTTTTCTCTGGGACGCATGCTCCAATAGGCATTCCACCAGAGCCGAGCATCACCAGTGAGCTGAAGCTAAGCGCAGATTACGCGATATCTATCGGGGCAGTCCATGACCTCGAAGATAAACTCCAGGCCCTGAATCCACTCGTCTACAACACGGGGATCTCCTTGCCTGGAGAATTTCTCAGCATGATAGTCGCGGAACTGTGCGACTACTGTGGCCTGAGTAGGAGCTGGATGATCGGGTTCCCTACGGGGCGTCATCTGAACATTGGAAAAGTTCAAAATTATTGAACACGTGATAATATTCTGACTGATTACTAAGAAACAAAAAACTCTTGACGAGTCGCCAAAAATGGCCGATAAATACTAACGTGAATCCTGAGGAACTCTAGAGTTAAATCGGAAAATACTGAATTCTAGAGTCATATCCTAATATACTGAATTCTAGAGTTATATCTGAACTCTGAAGTCTGAATCTGATTCGAGCATCTTAACTAAGTCTGATTTCTGATTTCTGAGCATAGACAAAGTAATATGTTTATAACTGAAAACTAAATCAGCACTTATCTGGAGTCGGCGAGGCGTGAGCGTGACAGTTCAGGATTTTCTGAAAATTATTGATTGAAAACTTTTCAGAGATGCAGAAACGTGCTCTGATACCAATTGTAACATCCCGACTTTTTATTGAAATCAAAGTACGCGTTTTTCGCAATTTTTCTGAATAAATTAATAAAATATTTATGTTGCGAAAACTGATTCGGGATGCTACCGTGAAAAACTTGACTTTTCTGAAAACCGTTCAATTTTAAACTGATAATGAAAACGGTTATAATATATTAACCGACTAACGTCGGATCAAAAACTGAGTTGTAAGTACTGAAAGTTTTAGCGGAATAAACAGCGTGGCAAAACATATATACATAATCACAAATATCCTGAACAGCCCGCCAGCTCACTCCTCGTTTTCGACCCTGCGACCTGAAAAACATGAAATGCGTGGGGGCGTGAGCACTAAAACACTTGTGCTCCGCAGAAACTAATACTAATGTAAACATTGAAAATAATAACAATATCATGATCTTATCATATATAATTGAATTGAAACTGAAACTGATAT